TGAATTTCGAATGGTGTAAACGTATTTGTTTATTTATTTATTACATCAAATAGGATATTGCATGATGCATTAAATAGGATATAATTTGAATTAATAAATTACTACTGATATTTACACTTTTCAACTAAATTGGGCATTTATAATAATTCATAATTTATTAAATATGACAACTGTAATTGTTTTATTTTTATGTTTCCTGATATTTACACTTTTCAAATAGGAATTGGTTATTTCTTCTTTTAAAACAACAGTCTTTGTGGGTAAAATAACACTGTATTATTTGCCTAAATTATGTATATTTACATGTATGCCAAGATAGAAACTAGCAAACCTTAACAGTAGTTTAAAAAATGTACATTTGCAACCATTTAAATTGTATATTAAATGAGCATAAATATAAAAGGCATGCTTTTATTTATATTATACATATTATAATATATTGCATGTTGTATTGTGTGTGGTTGGTTTTTATGTTTGTAGTCCAATGATTATTCATTTCTTATGCTGTCAAAAACAGAAGAAATTAAACATTAATGAAAAATCATTCAGTTGTAAAAGCAATACCAGTCAATCTGAAAACTACTTTATAATGACTCCAAAAAATATTTTAATGTCTCATTACTTTGAGTGCACAGGTTAAGAAAGAGAGAGATCCAACACATCCAATAAAATCAATCACACACTATCTAGACAAATCTATAGTCAGCATGATTGGATTCATTGTGATGCATGAGTGAACTTGTGTGTAACAAGTACAATTCTGCACACACACGCAGAAATACACATTTCTGCAAGGTCAAAATATTCCAGACCACTGTGACTGGGCGCCGCCCAGCCCCCTGTCAACTCGATGGCAGGACTGCAGAGTAAATTGTCACTCACACGAAGATGTGATTCCCGCACATCGATTCACCTGGAACGGGCTGCTATCTGTCTGTTTGCTTTGCTTAACATCAACCTGTCAGCATCTGTCCAGCGTGAACCTTCACCAATCCCTGTACAGACACTAAACATGGCATGACAAGCAGAATATTGACTTCTCCACAGCTATTCTTCTTGTTAGATAAAATGCACCATCAACAACAATCAAATGATTTCATTTTGTTGCAATCATCACGTTCAACACCAATAGCGTTATCTTTATCACATATGGGGTCTAAGTCTTCTTACAGTGTAGCATCTCACTATCCAACCTGCTAGGCTTGAATTCAGCAGCATTTAGAAAGCAAACAACAAAAGGTCACTGAATATGCATTAACATCCTACTCAGAGCTAAAGCAGAATCTCACACCACTGCAGCAAAACATTTCTACATGTCAGTGATAATGCAGTTAGATAATGCATAATCTGTAGCTGGGGGAAAATGTGCGACTGCTGACGTAGACTACACTTTCATCCTTCTTCTCAAACAGATGAAGACAGACAGCTGAGCATTTACTGTGCCAAAGCGGGCAACAGCTGCTATATTGAGCAGACGGGGCTGGTGAAACTTTCTCAAGACTACTGTCTCTACTTTATTTTAGCAGATTCCCAATTTACATAGGTGTTTCTGGTAGCAAAAGAGGACACAGAACAAGCTTAATGGAAAAGGGGTTATGAAGTCTCTTCATGTTATCGTAAAACTAGTAGCTCCTTGGAAACTGAACGGTTTATTGTATAATTACTGTGGCAAATCCATCCAATGCCACACTTGTCTGATGATCGTGTAAGCAGTCTTTCAGTATCTGGACTACAAATCAACAATATATATTTAATCGCTGCATGTATCAACACAACGTGGCAACCCATTCAGCATAATTATACCGCCTTTGTTACCAACAAACCTGTCATTTTTAAAACAACCCCAGTCTTGCGCTGCTTTTACACCAAATGAAAGATTTAACATGTCTTTTACTCACTTTGACAAACTGCAAGAATAGTAAAACAACTTATGCATAAGGCCCTAAATTTTCCCCACTTCTCAAGTGAAATTCATGTCATGCATGAGCAATGGTGCATGATGGAGG